AAGGAAATTCCTTACTGGGTCTTAGGAATAAAAAATGGAACAGATTGAAGGCCCTTGTAACAGTTTACACACTTACACCTCCTTTCTGCTGTCTGGTGCCTGAACCTCTTCATGATCCTCACAGAATGCCCACGAGCACACAGATTATTGGAACAGCCTTTCTGCTGCCCAGAGAGAGCTCAGCAGCACACACTTTAGCATTAATACTAATCACTCAGATTTCACTAAAGCAGGGATAAGTACTTGATAGTAAATAATCTGTATTCAAAAAAGAATAACACTCCAAGTATTTTTGCCGTAGTGTTGCAGCATACCTTTGTTGCAAGGAACAAGTTAAATAGTAAATTAAAAGCAGAAAAAAATTAAACAGAAAATATTAGGAAATAAAGCATTATTAGAAATAGGAGTGCCTTTTTTCTTTTTTTTTTTTTTGAGTAGCATTGCTAATGGCATTGGGTAAGAAGTGCTTTGTTTGGCCGCGAATCTGAAAAAAGAAATTACCTTTATTTAGCAAGTCATCCTTCACAAATGATAGAAATTTCAGTTGAAGTAAAATTATGCTCCAGTCAGTTCCTCTCAGAAATGCCAAGATCCTTTCGAACACTGGTATTTTTTAATGCTGAAATACTGCAGGATATTTCCTGTGTTCCATAGATGCTTACTTTGTATCCCATGACAAGGAAAATACTAAACAATGGCAGCAGTGGCAAATCTTTTCCAAAAGAATAATTCCTCTCTTGAGTAATTCCACTATTACTCAATTCAGAGTTCCCTGGCAGTGCAATACAATTCCCTGGCGTCTCAGAGGGAAGAATGGGGCACTTTATAATTTATATTAGATAGCATGTATATTTTAAATAACCCCTGATTCTGTTCCATTTCACACTTTAGACTAACAAGGCTGAAAGGAATTCAATTTTCTCACTGGTTTTTTCACTCTATGTGGTTCTATCCTTAGAGCATTTAGGTTGGTGTTACTCTCAAGTGTTATCCAGTGTATCTGCATTAAATCAAGAGGTTTGCCTAAAACAAGCACAAAACCACTTCCCTTAGGCACTGTACTGATGCTTAAGGGTTTGGTTCTCTTCTGCTGCACATTTTTTGTGTGATCTTGGGTTAAACCCCCAGAGAAATTCAGGATATGTTTCATGTATATGTAAACCAGGTTTCCTGACAAGAAAAGCATTTGTCATTCTGACTCCCTATCACTGGTACTTTGATTATCCCTCCACCCTCCCTTTGCTGTGTCTTCTGACCTTGCCAGTCTGGAGACCCAGCTTATTACACAAAGTCATTGAGTGTCACAGAGGAAAAACAAGTGGCCATGGTTTTCTAAGTAAATCTAAGCACTGTAAGATACTTGAAGTGAATCCAAAGTGTAAGCAGGCTTCAGTCCTAGCACACAGAGCAGGCTCACACCAGCCCCATAGGCATTCCTTGCCAGTCTCAGAGGAAGTATGAGCTACATTCAGGAAGTATGAGCTGAGTTCCACACAAAACAGAATTAGTGCCACTTCTGTCTACTTATCTCTGGCTTTACTGTTCCTGCCTCTGAAGCCGTAGCTCCTCCTGGCTCTCTGTGTTCCCTTTCTTTTGCTATGTCGGAAAAGTCAGAGTGCTACAGAAAGGTATGCCCAGGGAGAGAAAGGCTTAGATTTTCTGTATCAGGGTTGAATGGTCTAATACAATGTAGCTGCTGTATAAAAGAGCTTCTTCCATTTCCAAGTCTTTCTAAAAGAAAAGAGTGATCTCTTTTCAGCCTTGGAAACAATTTGGCATTAATTACAGGAAAATAGTTCAGACACCAGGCACAGGAAAAAAACTGTCCATACTGTGAATCCCAAGCAGAATTAGCCATCTCAACTCTAGAGCAAGAGAGCCCTGACGGAGACTCTCTGGTGTCTTCCTGGTCTGTTTGTTGGCATTTAAGAACCCTTTTCCTTGAGATAAATTTTTCTCTCAGGTACTGTAAAGAAACCGGAACTACCTAAAACAGCTTGAAGATTTTCCCCCAGGAGCTTTGGCTCTAAAAGATAGGTATTGAAAAGCTGAGCAAAGTTACTCTTGTCTTCCTCTCTGTGTAAATATTTGTCTTTCATATTTGTTTCAAAAATCATTCAAATCTTTTATGGCTCTGAACCATAGATTTTGATTTTGTAGCTCTAGCACTAGAGTTCCAATTCTGAAAAATACACTTCTTACTCACTTAAGATCAACCAAGACGACTGCTGGTGAAACAACAAGACCTGTTCTTTGATTCCAGTATAATAGCATGTATTATTGATCTTAGCATAAACCATAGCAGTGGACTGGAAGACAAATGAAATTATCTCTACAAAAGTGGAACAAAAGAGTAGTCCTTGCCCTGGTGCATTTGAAGTGTAAGTATCCTATAAGCACACCATACAGACTGACTGATTAGTGTAGTGAAAAACAAGGGAACTGCCCTGTCAGCACGCTCTGCCTTAACACAATTGCCCTGCCCTAAGCTTGGATAAAGCATAGATAGCTCTCAATAAGCCCAGTAAAAACAACTGAATAAGGAAACACATGTAGGTTTTTTCAAAAGTGGCCATTCAACAGAGAGCACTGCTGACCCCTTGGGCAAGTGAGAGCTCCTGGTGAAAGCTGTAGGAGTCTGTGCCCTCAAAAGTTTGCTGGCAGGAAGAAAATACCTCTTAGTACATGACAGAAGTGATCCGGTCTATTAACAAATCTCATGGACTGTGAGGAAGGACTCAAAACTCAGGCAGAGTGGCAGGTGCAGGCACACAGGCAACAGAAAGACACACAAGGCAACAGAAAAAATATTCCATCTACCCAGGCTGCAGTGTCAACACTTTCAGGTCAAACTTACCATAACTGACTACATGGAAAAAACCACTCACCAATTAGGAGCTAACATGAATACATGAAACATAAGAGACTCCAAAACAGATGTCTAAAGATGGCAATCATACCACTGTGTTGGCAATCATACTGTATTCCAACAGGGGAGCTTACTGTCCATGCCAAGCATGAGAACTCTGTTTACCTCTGCAGTATGAATGATTACAATTGCTTTAAATGTCTGCCTATGGGAATTAAAGTACAAGAAGGAATTATGGGTTGGACTGCTACAGAAGTGGTGAGACTCTTGTGTGTGATGATCTTTTCTGATGATGTGAACCTGAAGCAGAGAAAAAACAGTCCAGTGATCATAACTGAGCTTCAGGTAGGTCTAAGAAACTCTGAAAGCAAAACAATGCAGTGCTTCATCAAGGACAGAAGACAGGAAAGTGGAATTTGAAAATTAACTAAATATTGAGGGACAATGAAAGAGGAACACAAACTAAGCAAAGAGTGAAACTCATTAGTAGGAAAGAGAAAGTGAGAGGTGATAGTGACCTAACGAGGGACTGTGGCTGCTAAAGAGAGCTCTTTGGGACTGGCTGATATCCTACAGGAAAGGATGTCAGAACATGAAATGGGCCCTTCAAAAGCAAGATGATGAAAATGATTTGAAGTGGAAAACAAAAACACACAGAAATCTGCCTCACCTCAAAAAATGCTTGTATAAAAGTCATCAGGAAAGAACACCTGTAACTCTGAGATTGACATTCATGTCATTTGTATGAGCTAGAGTGAAGAAGCTGAAGATCAAAACAGTGAGAGGATCGTTTCACAGAGGAAATGCTAAAAAGCAAACAACTCTGCCTTCCTTAAAAAAGAGGGACACCCCTCCCACCCCTAACAGCCTAATACCACTCTGAAAAAGTTTTAATAGTGGGGGGAAAGATCCCTTCCAAGCAGTGGAAGTAGGGAGTTGTCTGAAATCTAGGCAATCTGCAATAACTGGAGATGAGTCACACTACTGCTAAAGGAAAAGATTTTCTATGGTCTGCAACACATGAGGTGAAAGAAATATCTTTATAAAGATAAATATATTTTGAACATCTTTGTATTTAGCATCATCAGATAGGAGTACGTGGGATGGCAGATCTCCTCAGCTGTTTCAGCAGGTGGTGTTTTGTTTTGGGGGGTTTTTTGGTTGTTTGTTTTGTTTTGTTTTGAAGAACTGTCATTATGTTTGAATAATGTAACAACTCAAACAGCAAATCTGCTGCTTTATCCCTGCCCAAGATACCCAGTTGTTAATTTACTCTTTCCTTGTTCATGTCCAACAAACTCAGGGCCCTGGTATGTAGCTCACTCTTCTGAGATGTCCTGTTCCAGCAACTTGGTTTAAATAGAGAATATAGAGTAGCAGAACAGGTTATACAGTGTTTTCACAGGCCAAACCAGAAGCTGAGACACAGATGGACTTATGCGGGAGGAATTATAGCAGAATTACATATCACACTTGCGATTCCTAAATCCCACTGCTGCACCAGATGTGCACGGTGAGCCCGTCGGTTGTTTTTTGTTAGGGAATGGATGCCAGAGGGTCGGGCTGTACCGCTCCCTCCTCCTCTCTGGCTGTGTGTACACATACCGTACTTTTTCCCTGCGTGTGTGGTTCGAGAACGTTCCCCTTTTCCAGGGATGCAGCGGTACATTTATGGCAAGGGGTTAGAGCTGCGGCGGGAGCTGCGATCCCGGCCCAAATCAGGAGCGCCGGAGAGAAGGGAGCATCGGGGGCGATCGCTGAGCCTTTGGCCTGTCCCCCTGGAGCCGAGCACTCGGCCTTTCCCACCGTGTCCCTGACACCCACCCGGGATGGGCAGTGCCCTCTCCCCAGATGCCCTGCTGGCCCCCCCGGCTTGTAGCCGGGCAGCGCCGGAGCGCTCAACATTGCCTTTTTAGGGCTTTTCTTTCTTTCTTCTCTACGTGCGGGTTTTTTTTTCTCCCTTCCCTCTCCTTGCAGGGCCTGAGCGGCGGCAGCGCCTCCCCGCCCGCCTCCCCGGCATCCCGGCGCCGCTCCGCTCCTCCCATCCCGTCCCGTCCCGTCCCGGCGGAGGAGGAGCCGGGGCGCTGCCGGCACCGTCCGGGCTGAAGCGCAGCCAGGCCCGGGGTGAGCGATGTCCCTGGCGGAACGGCGGCGGCGGGAGGAGGAGGAGGAAGAGGAGGGGGAAAGGGAAGCAGGGGATGGGGCCGGTGCGGGGGAGGAGGTGGTGCAGATCCGGCTGGGGGACAAGCGCTACCCGGTGTGCAAGAGGAAGCTGATCGAGCAGAGTGACTATTTCCGAGCGCTCTACCGCTCGGGAATGCGGGAGGCAGGGCAGGGGCAGGAGGAGCAGCTGCTGCGCGGGGGGCTGAGCGCCCTGGGGCTGGAGCTGGTGCTGGACTTCATCAACACGTCCTGCCTGGCCAGGCTGGAGCAGGAGGAGGGCGGCGATGAGGAGCCCCCTTTGCTGGAGGAGCTGGTGGAGGCCGCTTCCTACCTGCAGGTCACGCCCCTGCTCCGCCTGCTCCTGTCCCAGGTGAGGTTGGGCAACTGCTTCGAGCTGCACCGCCTGGCGCAGGTCTACGGCCTCCAGGACTTGCACGACGCCTGTCTAGACTTCATGGCCGCCCATTACCATCAGGTGCTGCGGAGGCCCGATGCCCGGCCACATCTGCTCCTGCCCCACGCTCTCCAGCAGCAGCTGAAGGAGAGGCGGATGAGGGGCACCGCCACCCTCGTGGTCATCGGGGACTTCATGAGCACCTCGTCCCCGGGCCTGCCCCCAGGCTGTCACCCTCAGGTGGAACCCCCGTGGTCTATGCTGAGGTATGACGAGGAGGCGCAGCGGTGGCTGCCCCTGGCCAACAACCTGCCCCCTGATCTGGTGAGTGTCCGAGGCTACGGGTCGGCGATGCTGGACAATTACCTGTTCATCGTCGGGGGTTACAGGATCACCAGCCAGGAGATTTCGGCTGCCCATTGTTACAACCCTTGCCTAAACGAATGGACTCAGCTGGCTTCAATGAACCAGAAGAGGTAACCCTTGCTCCCTGAAATACACCTGTGTCCATGTATATTGTTGAAATAGATCCCGCTGGGTCCCACGGCACTGGCTGGACTCGGTGTTACAGGGCGTGGTTCAGCCCCGTCTCTGTGTTACGAGCCTCGCGCGTCCCTCGCATCCCGCGGTGGGAAGGACCGCGGTGCTTGGCCACCACTTGGCAGTGAGCCACTGGATGGGCTTTCCTAGCAACTCTCATCCCACAGCAGCACAACACAACCACCTCTCTCCTGTTCAGGGACCACCCTCAGGGAGCTGCCGTGGCAGGGGAATGATGAGGGAGATGGGGTTCGTTGTTAAATGCTGTGGGAGACCACGAGCTGGGTGTCAGCAGAGGAAGACTGTGCTGTGACCTTCCACCGTGAGCGATCACTCACCTTGGTGTGAAATGGTGGTGGGCTCCCCACTTCTTTAAATTGCAGTGTACAAGGATCGAGTGTCTCCAAACAGCTGGGTGGTAGGAAAAATTCTCTTAGAAATAACAAAGGTTTAAAAAAACCAACAACCCGAAGATAAAATTCCAGTCCTGCTTTCTTTGTGGTGTATTTTAATTCCAGTTAAGTAAGTGACAAGATTTCCTGCTCTTAGTGGGGATATACTCTCTACCAGAGCTGGGGATGGCTGAAAAAATTTAGTTGGAACAGTTATTCATTGGTTTGTACTTCCATAAAACTCAGAATGTTTTGTAGGCCTGCATTTCACCAGAAAAATGTTAGGAAGATTGTGAGAAATTTCTCACTTAGTGGGAATATTTGGAGCTGGGAATCATTTATCATTTTGACTATTTTTCTTTTTTCCTTTATCTTTTTTAATTGGTTATTTGACATTTATGTTTAAGTTAATATTCAGAAACACTTGTATAATTTGTATTGAAAGAGAAGTAGGGAGCTAGCCTTGAGAAGGATCCAAGAAGAGAGGCCTTCTCCCTGGCCAGGGCTGTAGCTCCTCTACCTTAATCACGCTTTGGAGTTATAAATACAAAGTCTTTTACTTCACTGAACAAAGTGGTTTTGTTGTCCAGTGTGAACTTCCTTCATGTTTCCATTTTAGAAAAAATATTTTAAATTTTATCTTGTCTCTTGGAGAAAGAACAAGTAAGGAGGCCAAAATTCACTGCAGAATGGAAATTCTTCATCCAGTAAACTGAAAGAGCAAGAAGAGACCCAAACCATGGGCATAAATGCTTTATATCTGGGTAGTAAAACTGCAAGCTCTATTCAGCTTTTGCCACCTAAAGCCCCTCAAAACAAGTGTTTGACATAAAATTAGGTCTTACCCATTTCACCTTTTTTTCCCCACTTCCTGTATTGCGAGAACTTCACTGAAATAATCGCCTCCACAATCACTCACTGATCAGGTTATGAGGTTTTGGGTTGTGTCATGTGTATAACAGGAAGGACGTGCGAAGATTCTGCAGCACAGTTCTTGAAAAATACTTTTTCAAGGCCCTTTTTTCACCTTGCAACCTGGGTATTCAAACTCTAGATCAGCCTTTTTTTCCTCCATACTTTCCCTTTTTATTTCTGAGATCGTTATACTTGAAATGAACACATGGATATTTTCTTCTAATATTACTATCTTCACCAACTTAATCTTCCAACCTGGGACAGGTGACAGCAAGGTGTTCCTTAGCACAGATCTTCACATTGGCAATTTACTTCAGAAAAGTAGTGTGCAAATGGATATTTTTTGAATAATCCCAGTCCTACATTTCATGGTACTTATTTCAGGCCAAAAAGAACAGAGAGTTACTTCTGCCCCTAGAATATAAAGTATCAGCAAGTGAGTATCTTGCTCCCTGAATAATTGGGGGAACTTTTTTTCATGGAAACTCAGTTGACTCCTTCACAAAACACGTTTTTGACTTCACCACCTTCATGGAGTCTCACCTCTGCAGTTATTAATTATTATTTTTTTCTATCTGACATAATATTTCAGCTCCCTGAGGACCCGCTCGACATTTTGTGGCCAGAAGGCAGAAAGGGATGGCCTCTGCTGAAGGAGCCAAGAGCAGGAAGAGTTTCAATATGAGGGGTTTTGCATGAAACATCAAAAGTGCTGCTGCTGCCTGTCTACCACACACATGTGGTATAATTAATTCTGCACTTTGCCTGGCATTGTATTTTTAGTTTGTTGTGCTGTAGTAAAATAAGCAGGGCAGTTGCCCAGCCTGCTGCTTAGGAATTGCAGTCGTGTGACTGTCTGGCAAATGAATTTATGTCAACTGATACAATTACATCCCATGGATGAATTTTTTACATACCTTGAGGGAGGGTTCCAGTTTCCATTGAAGTTGGTTTGACTTCAGACAATGGAGTATCTGGATTTGTCCAAATGAGTGGCTGCATATGTTGGCCTCAAGGAAAGGCTGAGGAGTTGTGGAAATAGTTGTGCTAGTTTGCTGTTCATATAGGAATTTTCTGCCCCAAAAAACCTTTAAAAAAATTACATTATATTTTTACCTTTAACTATTTCCATTGTTGTGATATAGAATTCCAGGGTGCTGAGATTCTCTACACATGCTTAGATAAAATAGTCCCAACTTACTTCTAAGTAGAGGACAAAAGCCATCAGATTTATCCTGAATGCTCAGCAACCATTCTGGTTTAGATTATTGCTGTTAGCTTTTCTGCTAGGTGTAGAGGTCTTATTATTGTGGTTTCAAACTTGTTCTCAATAGGTAACTCCTGTATATTATTCTTCTGATGCCCACAGGTCCTTTAGGAAGTGTTATTCCCTCTTTAACACAAGGGAGCTAAAATAATTTGCTCAGGCTCATATAGGAAGCCTGTGACTGAGCATGGAATTTCTCATCATCTGAGGGCTAAATCTAGTGCCACAAATTGTCCATAACAGATCACAATTTCTAGGTCTTTTCCTTCTAGAGATATTTATGTACTTGGAAGAGTGTCCTCAGAAAAATGACCTGAACTTTTTAATAGAAGAAACTTATTGTAAGTGTTGCCCAAGATCACTTGTGGTTTTTGGGGTAAAGAAGGTAACAATACATAGGGGACTGTTGGAAGTAATATCCTTGAATACCCTTCTATACTTTTTAGTTTACACTATCAGTTGAAATTTGCTATTTAAAAATAATATACTTGATAGGAGTTCTACTGCATGTGCCAGTTGCAGCTGTGTATTCCACTTTTGTTTTCCTTCAGAAAATTCCTACTCATGACAGGTAAGTCTTCCAGGCTTGGAATACCCATGTAAGCCCCTGGCTGGAATTATACACATGCATGTGGAACATGATTTTTGTGAGCAATCTGTGCCTGAACTGCTGCCACTCTGAGAACTCTTAGAGGCATATAGAAGAGGGGAATACTAGCTGTTTATGAGACCTTCTCTTTCCTCATTTTTTAGTTCTTTTTCCCTCAAAATTCTTCTGTGTTGAAGGAAAATTGACTTTTCAAAAATTATTAAGTTAGAAATATTCAGACCTTATTTATCACAAATTTATCACACACTTCCAAAGCTAAATATTGGATTCAATGTGCTCTGCAGACTCGTATAAGAAATTAAAAAAAAAAAAAGAGAAAAGAAAAAGTGATCATTGAAAAAATATAAAATGCTTTTGGAATTGCCTTCGTAACTGTGCTTTCATGATTCTTTGTTGTGAGTACTTTAGAAAAAAGAAGAAAAAGATCATATGATTTGTGAGAAATTTTAAAGCTAAAGTTGATCACTTGGCAGGAGGAAACAATATGTTAGTTAATTCAAGCCTCGGATTCTGCAGCAGGACCAAGGTTACCTTGCAAATACATGTCTAACTTATTCTTAAAACCCTCCAGCAATGTAGATCCCAACCTCCCTCCCATGTTTAGCCACCCCTCTGAACAGAAAGTCCTCCCTAGTATCTGTGCTAACTCCTTTTTGTTGTTTACTAAATGAGTAATATCTGCCAGTGAACAGAAAACATACGTCTGTCCTCTTTGTAGGCACTGCCACAGGGGTCTCCTGCAGATACATCCATGGCTCTTAACACAGTCCAGAATGATGTGGGAGTTTTGGCAAGTTATTGAGAGGTGTCTTGTATCCAGAAAACCTCTTTCACCCCTGGATCCCTTGTGTTCGTGCATTATATTCTTCCTTTGTGCATGTAGTGCTTTGCACATTGAATGAAAAACGTATTTGGAACTTTGATAAAGCCCCACGGCTCATGCTTGCTCGTGTTCCTGGGGTTCCATTCAGAGTAAATGGGGTCGTCAGAAGATACCTCATACCTTGTCTTGCCCCAACAAGAAGGGACCCACTAGGCCTGGTGTTTTGAAAGTGCCTTTTCATCCCTTGGGTTTGGATAAACCACTGGTGCCAGTGGAGTTACATTGCGGTTGAATCTGATGGACCATTCAGCTCTGTTGTTTCCAAGCTGTAGTCCATGGAACAGTTGTTAGTTGTGGAGAGCTGGCTGGTTGCTCAGTGTTTGCTTTCCTTCTTTCCAGCTGCTCCAACACATTAAAAAAGTGTAAAAATGCACTAAATATTTCCTAATGTTCACTCTCCATAAAAACACCTGCTGTTACTGGCCTGGAAAAGTGAATGACAGAAGTTTTAGTAACATATTGAGCCATTGTCCAAACTTTCATATAAAGTGTGCTGGTGGATACTTGCAGCTACTTTTGAGTAAAATGAACCTTATCTTTAATGAGTTCCATAAATCTGAGATACTTCCACCCAATGTCATCTGTTTTAAGAAGTGTTGGAAGTGGTTAAATGACTGACACAGAAGTGTGTGGCCTCCTTTTAGAATATTTAAAGTTGAAAGTTGTGCTGTATGTGTTTCAGTGTTTCACCAGATAGTTTTCCCTGTGCTGCAAGAAACAATCCAGTGATGCAAAGGCCATCAACCAAAACCAGATAAATTGCCTCCATTCAGACAAAATAGCAAGGGGCTACAATTAGAGGGTAACTAGAGAAGCACATGTGAATTAGGAAACCTGGATTCTTTTTAATGTTTGGACACTACACACTTGTTTAGTTAATTCTTGTCCTCAGTGGCAGAAACAGCATGTTTTAAAAGTGGCTAAAAAGTCCTAGAATGGAGAAGTGCTATCTGTGTGTGCATGGACTCATTTTACAAAGCAACATTCTGCACCATCTCCTTCACAGGCACAGAATTACAGAATTTCTAACATACTTTAGATTTCAAAGAATTACTTGGAAAATGCATTTACATTTTCTGGTTTTGTCCCTTTGTTAATTTGGGGATAGTTTTTTCCTGTTCTAACTTTTAGAACAGATACATTGCTTTGAAAATCATAATGCTTTTCAAGTAATTATCCTCATTTCATACCTGCTTCTGATTACCATGGTATTCTGGATTATCTAAAATGGAAAACATAATTGCTATAGAGAGAAGATGACCAGACTGACTTCATTGTAAATGTCAGGAAACAAAAAAAGAATAAAAACCAATTAATTTCTTCTAAGGAGCATATTTGTTTCCAAAGCTATATCAGGATGAGAAGAACAAAATCATTCCATCTGGAAACAAATTCTTTTTCCAAATATATTTAATAAAAAGAAATTGCAGGGCAGTCTGCTGCTGGGCAGGGTATTTTGTCCAGACAAAACCCTGCAAAACTACTTAGTGGTAAGGTTTTGAGTCTTGGATTCATGCAGAGTGAAACTCCCTTTGCTGCTCAGCAGGCCAGTGCGAGTCTCAAACATCATTTCAGTTTTACAGACATAGCACAGTTCCCTGTTTGGCTTTATGCTGAGCTGGTGCACTCCAACGACTTTCACACATCCAGTTAATTGGGATACTCACGGTAAAATCTCAATTGGCTCAGCAGCAGAGAAGTAACAACCTTTCTAGGCAATGAGACTGGTTCTGAGGAGAGGAGGAGCTCATCTTTTATTAGCCCAGCTTCCATAGCTGGAAGGAATTGCTGACCATACAATGCTTCTGTCTTCAATTCCTCAAATTTCTTCCTGCAGACTTGCACCTTTATTATCCATGGACTATTTGTTTCTGTCTGTATCACCTTCAGAGTGTAAGATAGAAGGTTTCTTGTGCTTCAGTAATTAGAAAGTTGCCCTTTGCCATGTGTGAAATTTGAGAGCATAATGGAACAGAATGAGAAATAAATAGTTGCTCATGGAGTGCAATGTATTTTGTGGCTAGAACATAATTTACAGATAGATCGTGCTTCAGTGGGATGGAGGATGTATTTAGTAGTTTAATGCTGAATAAGGTACAGGAGATTCACTCTTTCTTTCCTTTGCAGAACGTGATTCAATGTGTTCCACTTTAAATTGCTTTTTATTAGGGTTATTGAAGAGATTCTATAATACAACCTAAGACGAGTATGCATTGTTAGGCATTCATCAAGTCTTGTTTGAAATTTCTGCAATTTTTACTAATATCCTTCACTGTGTGTACGTGTCTCCCACGACATGTAATGCATTTTTCTCTACGAGAGATACTTTACTAAAAACCTAATAAAAACGAGACATCTACTGAGCACATTAGTTAACTAAACAGTTAGAGCTCAAACTGGCACTCACTGAAATGCAAAATAAAATATTCATCAGTCTCAGCATCAACATCAATAACATCCATGATGTCACTGGTTGCAGCTCTAAGTAATTACAGTGTAATTACAGAATTTTGACCTTACACAGAAGAGTTCAGACGTTGCCAGTGATGGTACGAGCTGTGAGTGATGATGAGTGTGTTGAAGCCTGGATAGGAAGCGCTTTCCCCTATATTTCTCTACATCTGTGTAACCTATTTCAATGCTGCAATCGTTTCTTTCAGATCCAATTTTAAGCTTCTGGCTGTGAATGGAAAGCTCTATGCCATCGGTGGTCAGTCCCTTTCCAACGTGGAGTGCTACAACCCGGAAAACGACTGGTGGAATTTCGTGGCGTCCATGCCAAACCCTCTTGTAGAATTCTCAGCTTGTGAATGCAAGGGCAAGATCTACGTTATCGGAGGATACACTACACGAGGTAGAAAGTTTGCTTCTACCACTTTTTTTTTTCTTTTTTTTTTTTTTACCTGATTGTTTCTAAGGCCCGGATAATTTTCTTCTGTGTCTCAGAAAGCTTTTGACCTGATGTAGAAAGCTGTGTAATGCTCATTAAAATATGTGGAAATAAATCACTGGTAGAAATTAACTGACAAATGAAAAAAAAATGGCTCTGTTGTAGAGGAATCAGGTATTTATATTTTTGTTCCAAAGTGGATCTGGGGCTGTATTATTGTGAGAGAACAAAGTGATGGATACTTCAGCACCCAGCTTAGCCCTCATTTTTTTTTTAGATTTTGATCACATAGTACAAAGAGAGGCCTCAACAGATGTACTTTGTTTACTTTTTAAATACTTGGTTTAGATTGACAGAAGGAGAAATATGTAGAAAATATCTTCCTGCGTTCGTATTTCTCATGTATTAACAGATGTCATGGTCTTTTCACTACAACATTTCAGTGTTTCACAGGCAAATTCAAGCTGTAGCTTAATAACTTAATATCATAATCTAAAAGTTAAGCAAGAACCAATATTTTTAACTTACTTCATTTCTATACCCTTTTTTCTGAGGACACTGTACAGAGGGAAGGATTTGAAGTTTCATTCTCTCCTGACAATTACTTTTCCTTTATCCAGTGAAAAAGCAAGTCACTTAAAAAGAGCTCCCATTTGCTTATTCCTTAAGCACAGAGTGCCATTCTTTGGGAGGAATACATTTTCTCAGAGCTTTAGAAGTCAGGTTTTTTTACTTGTCAAATTTTCAGTATTTACCGGGATTTCCTAAGATTGAATTTGGCCTTTGCCCACTTCATCTGACCACAGTAGTTTTAAAGGTTTTCTTTCCAAATGGAGAATAAAATGAGAAGACAAATCAACTTTTACAGACAGAACAAGCTGTCCCTTCTAGTGTCTGAGAAGATTTTAGCTCTGAGTAATTTTAAAGCTTTTAAAAGACGTGCTGCTGCTACTCATGGTCCTTATGGTAATGAAAACCTTCAAACACATCTTGTCCAGTCCATTCTGACCCAGAATCTCTTGGCTTCGCCATTTTCATTGGAAAATGAAGTCTATGGACATGCCTGTGTCCATACAGAGGGCCATGCTGTGGTATGTTCTGCAGTCCCAGTCCTTTGGTCATCCCCAGTAAAAGACCTGTTGGGGAGTACTGTGCTCCCTGATGTCCAGCACTAGGTCTCAGAGATGTCTGTCACAAAGCACATACTGTGCTGAAAGGTCAGATCCCAAGGGAAAGATCCTTTAAGACAAGAGAACGAGGAGAAGGGTTTGAAACAGGGTAATGGGAAAGACTTGTCTCTAGAGACCAGAGTTAGGGTTTTGTCACTTTTATCTAGAGAAAAAAGAGGTAAGGAGATTTGGGATTACATGATTATGGGAGGGCCAGCTTTTCACCTACACCCCCTGTACTTTGCAAGTTCCTTCTCTGATGTTTGTGCTGTTCTTTCGTGGGGCTGTCTACTCCTGGTGTCATGGAGGGGAAGATCAGCACATTGCTAATGCAGATCCCATTCCCTTAAAATTCATTAACAAGGCATGTGCAGTCAGGATTGCTACCTTGTGTGGAGCTCCTTACTCAGTACTTAACTACCTGTAAGATGATAGTCATTTACCTGTTGCTTCTCCCATACCTCAGGGGATTGCTGCTGTCCTTCAGGCCTCTGTTTTTCCCTAGGTCTTTTCCTAAAAGTCTTTTTCGGTGGAAGCAGAATAGTAAAACAATATGCAGTCGTGAGTAGTGGATAAGCAGCACACTTTGATCTTGGATTTAAACATAAGCCTTTCAGACAACAAATGCCTGTGCTTATTATCAATAACTTTGTGAATAAGGGTCTAGAAGTAGTTTATCTGTGACACCTTGGCTTAGGACAGCTAGCAGACTTAGAAACCAGAATTGCCAGAGTTACACTGGAGATTTGCCTTCCAAATTATGCAGATGTCAGAGAGTGTTAAGGCCTAACTATCTGAGAGACACTGAGGTTTATTTGCTGGTTTGCTGTATTCAGTACATAAAACATATGCAGCAATTAATATTTTTTATATGTTACCCAGTTTTTAGTATTTTGTGGTATTTCTGTATATACCTCAGTTTTGGTAGGTTTTGTGGGCTATTTTTTAAATTTGCATAGAACTTTCTCCTGAGACTGAACTTTCCAAAATATGGGAGGATCTGGCATTTCCCACTGTAAATTATGACACTTGTTGACACTATTTCCAGTTTTCAGCTCTCACTTGTGGACGTAGATCCTAATAGAAACTCCATGTCAGGCACTATAAAGTTCATGTTTTGTATTGTGGGTTTTGGTTCAGGGTTTTTTTTTCATTATTTCAGTGGATATAAAAGACTCAGGCTGTGGACTGAGCAAATGAGGGCCATGTTGCAATGGACTTCTCTTTCATACACCCCCCTCTCAAATGATAGCACTTTTTACAGGGGAAGTTTACTGCTGTAGATAGTCATAGAAACTTAATTGGGATTTCCCCCTCCCCTTAATGAGTCAGAGAATGATCTGTTTGTAGACAAAGGTCATCTATATGTAGAGCTTTGATCAGCAATTTCATAGGACATTGCTATGAAAATAATCAGAGCGCAGGCAAATGCTAGAGCAGCACCTCCCTAATGCCACTAATGCACTTCATTCATGGCAATCCAGTTACATTTCTGGCTATTTATACCTGTGCCCTTACATAACTTGTCAGTATGTCGCTGTCTGCTCTTCCCTTTGGGAGTTCATCTGGAAATTGTCATGCAGGATAGACTTGTAACATGGAGCAGATTTTATTAAAAGACCAGTCTGGACTCTGCAAACCTGTTGCCTCTTGTCACTTGAGTTTGGGTTTAAGCTCAGGTCTCCAGAGACTGAAACTGAATTTATTAGCTAATGAGTCCCGTGCGTTGTGTGATAATTTAGTGAAGCCTTGAACACAGCCAGCGTCTTCACTGGACTGTAAATCAGGATGGTATTGTAACGATTTGTAGAATAACCCCATAGCAAACACATGCACGCACTGAGTTGTAACTGAAGTGTGGAGATGACTTCAGCTTCTTTCTGAGCCTCTGTCTGATGCTGGAGCACGGAGTTCATGGTTCCTGGATGATTTTGACAATGTGTGTTTCTCTCTTTATAAGGTGCCCTTAGGTCATTCGTGCCACTTGCTGAAATGTAAGCAGTTTTATGAATTTTATTCCATAAATTTCGATTTATGGAATGAATGGAGAGTACTGAAGTTAAACTTGGGTGATAAATCAGCATTTAACAGCCGTTAATGAAGCATACTGTCTTCATGATAATTTGATTCATCTGTGACCACTGTTGGAGAGGAGAATATTGCTCCATTTCCCTTTTCATAAAAAAATTTTACATATCAATCAGAGACAAAATAAAAAGTGTAAGTTAGAAGGTAGGGATTATTCTGCTAAAGTGTGCATCCCCAGGCAGTTTACAACATGGAATGTGCCAGAAGTAGCATAATTTTTCCCTTCTGCAAAGGAACAGAATGTTCAAACTTTCTTGTCAGGGACAAAGAGCTGCAGTTCCCAATGATCAGTATTTCTTCCCTATTTTGCCATGCTTTTGCACTGTAATATGTTATCTGTAATAAAGGCTGATGCAGTTTGTAGGGAGGAATAACCTTCCTCCGTGACTATCTTCTGATACAGTTATTTATTTGTGAATGTCTCCTCTCTGTTTCAGACAGGAATATGAACATTTTGCAGTACTGTCCCACTTCTGATTCCTGGACCAACTTTGAACTCTGTGATGTCCATGTTCGCAAGCAGCAGATGCTCTCTGTTGAAGAAACTATATATCTGGTAGGGGGTTGTATTCTTGAACTTGGACCAAACCAGAGATCCAGCCAAAGTGAGGACGTGTTGACTGTGCAGTCTTACAACATTGCTACCAAAGAATGGCTCTACCTCAATGAGAACTCATCAAAATCGGGTCTTAACTTGACTTGCACTCTCCACAATGATGGAGTCTACATATTGAATAGGAATATCACTCTATCTACGGGCTTGGAGCACCGTGCTTTTCTGAAGTATAATATATTTACGGACAGTTGGGAGTCGCTAGGACGCTTTCCAGCCTTTGGACAAAACATACTGATTTGTTCTATGTATTTGCCTGATAGGAGAGAAGTGTAACAACATCAGGTTTTTCTTTTCAGTTCATTAATCATTCTTTGAAGAAATATTATTCCCCCTGAATAATTCCATTTTCAGAGTGCAATGTGGTTGCATAATGTAGGCATAAAATACCGATTCTGTTCTTCAGAAAGGTTGCACAATTAGATATTGAGAGAAATGCTTCTGGAAACAGTTTCAAGATTTCAGTTTAAAAGTTTTACTGGTTTGGATTAAAATTTCACCAGGTATTATTTACAATTTAAACATAAAATTATTGTGTTGGTAGCTGATACCAGAATTCCAAAGGCAAAACCAATCAGTCTAGTTTTAGTCTCCATCTTAATAGACAGTGCAGAACATGAGCAAGAAGTGTATATTTTAAAAGTGGAAATAATTCAATAAAGTAAATAATAAGTATAATCAAAATCAGTGGGAATTATTTCTTTTAAAATACCCTTTTTACACAAGCTGCGTTCTGTCAAATGCACAGTGTTTGAAATTGTTTATACTACCACATTTTTATATTTTCTGCGGTAACAAGTGAGATTCTCAAAGGTGCTGGCAACTGGGGTCCTACAAAGAAGTAAGAACTTCCTCTGAATTATTTGTAATGAAATGCTTTGCCAGGGACTGGAAGAAATGGCCTAGAGGCTCAGGGTTGCTGGTTGGATAGTGGATGCTCCTTTAATGTAAGTTGGCAGCATTTATTGCTACCATTAAGGTACAGGGGAAAAAGCTGTAAATTCAAATGGTGAAGTTAGCTCTTCTTATAAAGGTTTTAAGTTTTAGTTACCTTGTTGTGTTCTGTAGTACTGAGTGTTAAAGATCAAATTATAGCTGGCAACAAGCTGCATGTTACAAAAATGTACAAGAGCATGTGCAGTGATGATTCAGCACCAGGCATATCCTGCTTGGTGACAATGCCCTGGGACACCCATCACTTCGTGTGGAAGGGTTGGTTGGTGTACGTGACTTCCTGACAATATCCCCCAAAGCAGGTTCACCTGAATGTTGTCTCTTATCTGTGTCACCAGGAGCTTGTTAGAGGTTACCTCAGGTTTGCCATGCAATGTTGTTAGTCTCTGTAACTGGAGCTGGTCTATAACCGTGAGCTGGTCGCTCTGCATGCTCCTTTGTGAGGATTTAGGAAGCTCCCACAAAGGTACCCTCTGGGAGCTTCACCCAGTTCCTACCTATTGCCTGAGAGAATTACAGTCATGACTGGCCCATTTTCTTTTTGTAGCTGAGAAGTACATAAGTGTCTTCTGAAGGTGCCTACCTAGGTATGGAATGTGTGTCCCACAACAAGGAAAGGAAAAGGTCTGGGTCACCATGGGAAGAGCTAACCTTGTTGGACATGTGCTGAACACATTGCAGGGAAGCTGGTTCAGCTCCAGATGTTTGTCCACATGATCAGATGATATTTAATGGACCTGAACATGTTCCTAATGTGTGGAGATATCTTTTCTATTTCTTCATTGGCATTCAGGTATCTGAGGAGGAGGTGGTACCAATGATGGTAGTACAATGGACCTTGGTTCTCTCAAGGTCCTTTTTACTCCCTACTTTTCCATGGTTTTGAATGAAATCAGTGCTGGTTGAAAGTGCTCTCAGTCTTAAAGCGCCTTGCCAATCACCGCTGACACATTAATTCTGGTGCTTCCAATCACCCATAGCAACCCAAACAGAACATCCCAGAAAGCTTGTCCAGAATGAGGTATTTGTGTTTGAACATTTTTAGGATGCAAGTAAACATGACACAAGGTATTTTGGATGTCTAAGATTTACCTTTTGGGTGGAACTATTGCAGCCTCGTGGAGGATGTTATGCTCCAGCCCAAACTAGTGCCCTCCACTGGATGTATGCATGGCTTTAATTAGCTAAGTCCATATCAGTGTGTTAAGTGTTATTTCCTTTTAAAACAATGCATTGAGCAGCTGCTGTGTTTTGACAGCAGTATCAGACCAAACAGTTGCTCTTCTGCAATGAAGAAATACAATGACTTTCATAAGATTCTTCTTTTGGAAGTATTTTAGAATAAATATAAGCAATTTGCCGTTGTCTGCTGATGAATTGTCTCAATCACATTATGTTGCTTGCTTTTCCTTCATTTCTTTTCAGTTCCAGATTCAGTACCCTACAGTCAACTGTGACCAGTATTGGTGGAGGGAATCACATCTGAGTTGCGGATTCTCTTTCCTAGCAAATTAATCAAGAAAACCCACCGCTCCCAGGTTTGCAGTGTGCTGTCAAGTCCTTTCAAACACAGTAATTTCTTAGTGCAGTCATAATTCCAAAAACTGTGACATCATCTTTTAGGTCTGATTACTCTTGTTCAGAAGGGACCTTTCCACACTCTGTTTATCTTGTTGGTTTCAACTTCCAGGTGGTCACTTGACCACCGTGAAAAGCTGGAAAACCTGCTCAAATGCAGAAGACAAAGATGTCTCCAACTGTAGATACAGTCCATGGTGCAATGTCCTATACTGACATCTAACAGTACTGCAATCACAAATAAAAACTGGTGTTGAATTTAGTGGTAGCACCAGGCTGTAATAATCTAAATACACTGCATTACCACAGGCTGAAATAAATACAACTTTTTTAAACAAATTCATTACATAAAAGTATGCAATGTGTGTGGCCCTGTACCTCAGGAAAGAAACCAAGCACTGCATGACTCTCTCATGCCCTGTTCATTTCCTTTCTATCACTTATATATTTCACATAGGGCCATGCTGGACAGCTTCTGCCCTTTGGGGCAAGGAAAACTGTTTGAGAGACATTAATAGAGAATAATTAAAAAACCTGCTTTTTAACCAATGGAAATGTTGTTTAGTGATTCACTGTATTCTCCCTTCTCTGGTGGTGGGAGGAAAAAGGCCCTTAAATTAAGGAGTAGACCAAGAGGCCTCGCAGTCTGGTCAAGTGGAAATTCCTGTGTTCTGATGTTGCTTCTAACTTACTATGTGGGCTTGGAGACATCAGTCCAGCTCCTTGCATCTTCATCTCCAAGTGTAACACGTGAGTAGGAATGTTCATCTTGTGGGAACACAGGTTGTCTGGTGTAGTAGGTGTGTAATGTCTGAAAGGCATCTTGAGCATGTGAAGAAGTACATATGTTCTCATTGTTGTAACTGTTTCCTTGGTTGTTTAAACTGCTCTGTGATAAGTGATAGGACAGAAGGTATCTAGTAATCTCATTGTGATCTCTGCTTTATTTTGAACTAATGGCTATTTCCAGTCTCTTTTTTTCTTTCTTTTTTTTTTTTTTTGGTTACCCAATAGTCTGTAGTTCATCTAAGTTTCCTGGTTTTGGTGTTCTCAAGTCTGTATCCAAATTCAAAACCGCTGCTTTCCTGCTGTCTGGGTTATCCAGTGCTCGCATATCCACTATTTATCTTCTCTGTCTCATGGACTGATTGCCCTTGATACTGACCAGCAAAAGCTGACTATGGTAGAAGATGATCCCAAGTTGAAAGAAAGAACAACAGCTTCCAAAGTCCTGAGGGAGGAGTAAATGGAAAACTCTGGGAACTCAGTCCCTTCTCATAAAATAGAGAAGCATTTAAGAAGGTTGCTCACATCAAGGCTGAGAGAGAGCATAAAAGTTTCTTCCTTTCCGGGAATGGTTTGTGGCTTTCAACGTGAAATAAGAGTTGTGTGGGGCTTAACTTTAATCTCCCTGGCTGGTTTCCATAGGTTTCCTTTTCTGCCCTGTCGGCTGACCTTTCTTGGGCTTAATATCTGTGTTTTCCATTCTTTGAGGATTTTGCCTTTCTACATCGATGTCCAGCCCATTTTGCTGAAATCATATCGTAGCAGTTTGTTGGTCTTTTCTGTTCATTACTCTGCTTTTCACACTCATCTGTGACTGTTAATCACCACGAGGTAAAAGCAAAGTAGTTTGTAATTCAGGTGGAACCTCTTCATTTATTCAGTATTGGGCATTTGGAAGAGGAATACACAAAGCTGCAAATGTTTTGTTTCATTTAATCCTCATTTTAGAGAGAAATGGTGCTACAGACACTCAATTTGTGGCAATTGATCTGCATCAGTAATGTGATAGAGAACAGAAGGCACGGAGCATAATGACAACATTTAGCACATAAAATGCTCAAAGCCTCACACAAGCTCATTCCTCATCCCTATCATCCCGGTGAGATAGATTCTGTAAATGGTGTTAACAGAGGCAATCCTTGGAATATCTGTCAGGAAGATGAATGAATTTATAGATGCTTACGGAGAACCCTCCTCAAAGTGCAGAAACGGACAGCATTTGTGGTGTTACATTGATTTTGCACTTACAGTAATGACCAAAGGGTGGCTCCCCATCCCCACGGTAAGGCTTAGGAACCAGAACTGATCTCCAAGACACAGAAAGTCTAAACGTCTTTCCCTACAACATTGACAACTGCCGTTTTCAGAGTATGTTTTCTAGCTAATTAACTTAATCAAACTCAGTGTAACCTCTGGGGGTTTTTCCTCAGAAGGAGAGTGGAGTCTGGAAGAGGTGTCTGGACTTTTTGAACTAATGCATTCACAGATTCAAAATTGCTATCCCCCCAAAAAATGCTATATTTTCCTAAAATTATTATTTTAGGAAAATAAACATACGCTGTTATGTCCCATGAATATCAGCATTTTCTAAAGTAAGTTTCAGTTTCTTTATGGCAATTAGAAGAGTGAAACATGTTTTGTTTCTGAAATAGAAACTGTCTCATAAATGAATAGGAATCCTTACAATTACTGTCTTTTTCTAGTGACAGATTAGACAGGGTCCATTTTTAGAGGATCCAGTTTTATGATGTGCCACACACCTTCAACTCATATATGCTTCAATAGGAGAGAAAGACGTTCAGCACCTGAGCAAAGATATTTCCATTCTTTAAGATTGAGCAGTGAATAAAAACTCTGAATCCTGCCTCCCTCATGCCATTTTTTAGTTGAAATTTATGATTATTTGCTCTAATGTTCCTTTTCCACTCTCTGATATTTTCCAGATGTATTAAAGGGTGTGTCTTGCGATAAGACACCCTTTTAAAATAATTTTTAGAAATTAAAGTATTTGACTCTTTTGCCTGTGAAGATTTTACCCAGACTTAGTGCTGTCATTTTTCTGCCAAAATGCTGCCCTAATGATGCCCCACATTTGCCCTGATCATTGGATTATCGTCCATGAGCACCCCAAACTGGTAGCACTTTTGGATGAGGCTAAACTGATCACACAATAGCTTATGTTGTACTGAAAATCCCAAATTCCTTTCCCAGGGCAATCCTTTAATGCACTGGTTGTGCAGTACAGTAATTCAGCTTTGACTTGTGAGATACTGTCAGTCACTGCAGGTTTCTGATGCAAATGTCAACCTCATCCATGCTGGAAGCTGCCTGTCTCTTTTGGAGTTATACCCAACCCTCCT